AAGGGTCCGGCGCTTTCAAGTTTTACGATCGGGGTTTTTCGCCGACTATAAACACCTCAACTGTAGCTAAGCTAAATGGAAAAACAAGAGAGAAAGATGCGCTTAGCTTGACTCGCAAATTGGCACCCGGCTTTGGATTTCGGCTCCGTCTCCGGCTGGAACTACTACGAATTTATTTGGGAGCCGGACGGGTTTTCGGGGGATGCCGGGTGCTACGAGGTACCAAGCGGCGAACTGGCACCGTCTTAGGCCTGGGAATTGTGTAAAATGAATACAGAGAAATACAGAAAAAAAAACACTCATAAAACACACAAACTAAAAACGAGAAAAATGAATGAAAAAAGCAAATTCAATGCAGGTATCGGACGGATACATGCGAGTATCTCAGAAATACAATGCGCCAGTGCCTAATAACTGAACACAAGTTGATTTTTAGTGTCTTTGTGCAAAATAAAATCAAAACAAATCACAAAAAGCTCATAAATAATAGCCACAAAAACTGAACAACAGCAGCGACAACAACAAAGGTTTTCGGTCGTTAGCGCAGTTCGCCATTTTGGCTTGGCTAAAATTAGCTAATAACGATAAAAAATGGTAAACAAGAAAACCAAAATAAACCGAAAAAGTTACGAGCATATGAAAAGCAAAGGGAAATAAAAAATCATGTTGGGATCGGTGGATTTTGATAGACTTGACTGTGCAAAAAACATAATTACAAAGATATTTTAAATAACATAATTTTGAGAATTAAACTGAATCTGTTGACAATAAGATAGTAGTTTTTTCTCATCTTAAATAAGATTTATTTTATCTGAAATAAGCTTTTTTCAAGAAGGTTCCCCTACAAAATTATACCAATTCGCTTTAGATTCCACTTCATTTGTTTACAACTTTTACCCACTCAATTAGTGATCCCAACTTCCTAGACCCGCAGCAAATATTTTAATGGCATTCGATGTGAGTCGGTCACGGGAGAGTGAACGAAGCAGTAATTACAATTGGATTTCAAATGCTTCAACGATTGCCGAGGGGATTTTATTTAATTTTTCATACGTGTACTTCCACATATACTGTGTGTATTTGCCTCTCGGAGAAACTGCGTTCTAAGAATTAAGCATCTTTGCCCCTCTTTTTGCGGCTGCCAATGGAACGAACGTGCGAGTGGCGATTAACACCTCATCGTTAGAAACTAAGCTCATCCGGAGTTATCTGTCCAACTGACCGCAACCTCTCCATCATCCTTTCGGAGATGGGCATGTGATGAAAGCATGCCCAAATAAATTAAGCCAATTTGGACAGGAACAATAGAGGTTTTTTTGTATGCCTAGCAGGCCGTAAATTGACGGAGATCTTCATTCGTGTTGTTCGTGTATTCTCCCTGTTCCTCTAAATCTGGCAATTAGCGACGCTTACAGGTACACAGATGTATATGAATTAACATGGGTATAAACGGATATTGTTAGTTATTCTGGAACACCCTCAAATACTCTGCGGCTTATCAATCTCGTCACGAAGAAATATTTAACTCCGACGAACATTTTAAAGTCAACCTTAAACAAAAATTTTAAAAATTATATTATCAATTATTTTTTTTTTATTTTTTATTGTTGAATAAAAACAAAAGTTCTTCAAAATATTTCTTACTTTTGAAAAATGGCAATGCTAAACTTATATTTAAAGTCATTTTTATGAAAAAACATTATTTTTATGGTCTATTCATTTTGATATATGTATGTAGATAAAAAATAATGTTACATGGCTAAATTACTTGTTCAAGCTTCTAAAAAAAGGAAGAAAGTTACACTTTAGTAAGGATCACAAGATATACGATATTCCGTTAGTAAAATGCAAAGCCTACATTTTAAAGGCGGGCCAGATCGATTTTAGTATAGTCTTGTATATCTTGTAATATCTTTGAACGGAATGATGTGGTTAGATCAGTTTTAACAATTATAAGGAGGCATGCCTTAAGTAAATAATCTGATCATGGTGCTTTTCACAAAGCCGTACACCCTGATTATATTTAGTAGAGTATATCCATAATCGCCATACTAGCTATATTTTTTTCTCCCCGTTTATCTTTTTTCATTTACATTGTACTCCATTGCAATTATCACATTTTTCGAATGCGGATTTGTAAGTTTTCTAGTTCAGACAGCGATCGCAGCGAATGTCAATGACTCGTCATTGCTCTAAGCTTTTTGGATTGGAACTGCCGCTGGCGGAGCATTTACCGCTCTCATTTGTCAACGCCGACAAACAGCCACAACTAAGTACGAGCCCATACACACCGAAGTGCCGCCCTCAATGCCCACGGAGCGTTGTGCTTTTAACGCTTCTCAGGTATTAATTGCCGGCCAGATCACGAAAATATGCACATGCGGGCAGAAGAAAAATTAACTTCATTTGTAGCTGTACATATTTGGCTTAATGCGGCATTTAAAAATGTTAATTGACAAGAGTTACGGTGATGGAGGAACCGAGTTTGTAGGTGTGGAATACTTAGGAAAGTGATTAAAGAAAGTTTAGGCAGAGCAGAACGAGAAATACTTAACTGAATAGGTAAAACACTGTGTTAATTATTTAAAAGGAACTCAAAGATTCAATAAGATGCATATACTAGCATTTGAAACGCATCAAGGTGTAACTCATTTAACTTAATAGGAAAATACAAGTTTAACCATTCCATAAAGGCAACATATTAATAATCATTTTTACATTTAATCCAGATACAGGAAGTTATAAATTGATTAATGATCCTGTTGGAAATGAACTCCAGGTATGTCATTTTGAATGAATCGTTGTGAGGACTTGTTGCACCCTTTTTGTAAGATTCTTTGGTATTTATATTATCTTGTTCAACATTGAACCTTTTGTCCCACCTTTGCTTGTTCATCGCCTTCTGATCTTCAGGACAAAGCCACCCAAAGTACTATACTTCCCAAGGCTTTCGCACCCAAGTGCCAAATTCGAGAAGTCTCGTGGTCGCCAATAAATGGCCACAAGAAAAGCCAAAGTCAAAGCCCTGCTTGAAGATCAGTAGCGATGAGATACAATGGGGTTTGTACGCAGGTTCAAGTCAAGCGTTGTTCGGGGACATCCAAGTTTATTTTTCGACATTCCCAAACAATGGTGGCAGTTTTTTTCGCCTTGTTTTTCATTGCGCATCCACTTAGCAGTTGGAGATTTTCAAAATGAGATAACACGTTACATTTTAGGGATGGGGGATGGGTATTTTTTTTTTGTCTTTTGGGCGAGCTTTTGGCGCTGAGAAGAAAACGGTGGAAAAATCGCTTAAAATGCAAGCGATTATGCCGGGCGTAATGATGGGTTGGGGACCAAAGTGAGGAAGGTTATTGTGGGGCGGTACAAATTAATTTGCACCTTTCGCCTCTGCTGCAGCGCTGCAACTGCGACGCCGACGTCAGCAGATGTCGTGGCAGCAGCCGGTGAAAGTTGCACATGCAAATCTACAAAAGAAAGAAAATCTGCGAGCGCTGTCGGCAATTAAAGACAACGTTGTTGCACTGGGAGGAAAATAAAACATAACGCCTGTCTATAAGGTTTTTAAATATAAGTAATGGGAATTACTTTTAAAATGTTGAGAGTCCAAAAAATTCTCTCACAAAAACATTTAATGTGATCAAGCAATACTCTATGAAATCTTGCTCTTAAAATTAATCAGTAGTATCCAACTGTTAATTATTTCTATTATCTATTTAAAACGCAATTTTTAGAAGGACATAAAACTAAAAATTCTATCTCGGTTATCAAATAATATGTCTTGCTTTCAAGACAATTACATACAATTATGTATAATAATAATATATGGAGTGTTTCTTTGAGCCTGTGAAAAGTAATATGACGATAATTGCACTCGCATGCTAAAAGTTTTTTACCGAACACTTAACTTTATGGATATTGTATGGTTAACACCAATGATAAAACGTTTAAGACGTAATTTTCTAAAGTTCACTCTAACACTAATAAATCTATTGGTATAATAAACATTTTATTATCGGGGCTTGTATTTTTTTCAGTGCTTAAAAACAGCATAACGTGACTGGAAAAGTGCAGCATCCAGAGCAAACTCTTTTCATTTTTGGATGCATCTCGAAATGTCAAAGGGAAACTTTTTCCGTCCTTTTCGAATCTCCCTTTACCGGCGAGAAATGTCATAATATTTGCGGATCGGCTGGTTTTCAGCGATTCGCTTGACTTATGTGCGGGCTTATTGTATGCTTTTAGTGGCTGAGTTTATATGTGTGTTTAGCGGGCAAAACGGTAATCGTAATTTGTCATTTATTTGCACTTCGCATTTGAGTGATCGCTGCTTGACGCAGGAGGAAGCGGAAATAAGAGCAGTCTGCAGCGGTAAAGTGCATTTTGGTGTTTGATTGCGTTTCACACAGTTACTGAGTCTCTTCGAGCATGTAAAAGACTGTTGTTAAGTAAACATAAGTTGGTTTAAATAAAACTAGAGTTCAAAATGCTATAACGGCTTTGACAGTGTGGCATCGCTGAGAGTACAACAGACCTATCGATAGTCAATGTTAATTATTTCAGAATACTACTTAAGATGCAGTTTTAATTGTTAGTTTTGTAGTTACGTTAATGAAATGTACTTAATCACAGATAATAAATAAATAAATATAATTTATATATGTCTTAAAATGTCCTCAATTATTACTTTATATATTTTGCTTATAGATAGGCAAACATATTTTACAGTGCTTTGATAAAATTGAATTTTCGATGCGCTCAGAACTGGAGTAAAAATGACAAGATCGATATTAGCATTGTTAGCGGATCTAACACCCATTAGCGGAGATGCACACATGTATCGATAGTTAGCGGGTACGCGGCAGGGAGCGGAGACACCCTCCACAGTTAGCGGGTATAGCCACCATTTTATTTGATTAGAAAAACACCGATGACGCCCTGCCAAACATCGATACACCGATGTTTTCGAAACATCGATACTACCGATGCCTTGAAAACATCGATGTCTCCACCTACTTTGGTTTTGGTTTTTCATGATGGCATAAACATTATCTGGAAACGTACATGAAACCGCAACCGCCGAGCTGGTGCACCGCTGCAACCGACGAGGACGTCTGCCCGCGCCGCCCAATCGATATTACCGCTCGGCGAGGGAAAGAGCAGCGTGGAAACTCAGCAACAACGCGGCGCCGCCATTGAGAAAGCAAAAAAGAAAAGCGTGTGCTCCCGCACACAACAAGAAAAACACACAGAAAAAGGGAGTGAGAAAACCGATTCGAGGTCGCCGGATGTGAGAATGTCGCAAGCAGTGGGAGGATCAGTCGCCGGAATGGAAGAGCTTGCACCAGTCAACCAGTCGAAACTGCCGGAGGATTTCCAGGACAATGACACCAATAGTCTGGAGCCCGGCGAAGTGGTGACCCCGCCCCATCGTCATCCAGGGAGTCCTGCCCTTCAGAAGCATTTATCCAAGGAACTGATGATCAGCAAATCGCTGCGAAAGATACCCGCTGGGATCCTGGAAAACGGCTCGTCGGGGACTCCGCAGAAGCAAGCGGATGAGGCAGACGACAGCGAAGGTCTTTACTCGGATTCGGACTCCTCGGGGGAGGATCTCAAGAACCTGGAGGATGTGCAGAAGGCCAGGAAGGAGAAACAGGAAGAGGCTGCAGCCGCCGCCCTTCCGCAAGCACCTCCCACGCCGTTCCTGGGAATAAATCCTTTAAGATTCCATATGCGTGCACCTTGTTTTGAGTTTCCCAGGATGGGCTTTATGCCCCGGATGGCTAGGGGCGGACCCAGAGGCATGCGACCGCCGTTTTTCGGGCGCCCTCCTACGCCCAACCGCATGGGATCACCCATGATGGGTGGGCCACCATCCCAAGGACCTCCGCCGGGATCCTTTGCGGCACAGGTACCACCAGGACAAGGAAATACCAGCAATTTAGGACGTTGCAATCGACCCCAATCGGATTTGTTGTAAGTAAATCACATAATTATAATATAAATCAAGTTATAAAAGTGTCTTTTTAGATGGACAGCCTTACAGCCGCCCGTGTCATTTGTCTTCAATTTAGTTTCCGAGTGCTCGAATTCCAAACATGAGAATTGCAGATCCAAAGCGGAAAGTGGAGCACCCAAATCCAAAGAAGCCATCAGCGAAACAAAGGACAAATCCATAGACAAACCAAATGAACAATCCAGGGGCAATACCAGGGAAAAATCCCAGCACAAAGGAAAAGCAAGGGAAAGATCACGGGGGAAAACTAGGGAGCGGTCCAAGGAAAGAGATTCAACCAGAGGAAAAATTAGAGAAAAATCTAAGGACAGAAATTTAAACAGAGGTAAGACAAGGAAAATGTCGAAGGAGAGAGATTCAACGCAAGGAAAAACCAGAGAACAATCCCATGAAAACAATAAGTTCAGAGCAAAAAAGAATGATAGATCCAAGGAGACAGATCAAAGAGGAGGTGAAACTTGGACGATAGAAAATGAAAAATCTCATGTAAGAGATCAAGTTAGAGAAAAAACAAGGGACCGATCCAGGGAGAGAGATCAAACTAGGATAAAAATACCAGAAAGATCGCAGAGCAGAGATCAAACCACAGGAAAGACAAAGGATCGACAACACAGCAGGGCGATATCTAAAAAAAGGTCCAGATCCAGAGAGAAACGTACAGAAAAATCCACGGAAAGACGAGGCGATAGAGACTTATCCAAAGCAAAGCTAAAAGAACAATCTACAGAGCATGGTGAGAAATCTAAGGATGAGAGCAAGGACAAATATAAAGAAATGCAAGAGAAAAACGAGAGTAAAAAGCAGCGCGAAGAGTCAAGCGAAAATATTAGAAAACAATCTAAGGAAATAGTGCAAGGGAAAACCACTGAAAGAGTTCAAGATAAGGCAACAACAGACAAATATGAAGCCAAACAAAAGAAAGATATAGATAATCCTAAAGAAAAGTCATCAGAACGTATGAAGGATAAATTGTCGGGACTATTACTCGAAACATCAGAAGAACTTTTCAAAGATAAACGATCCAGAGAGAAATCAACAACGAAATCCTTGAAAGAAAGCGGCAAGGATAAATCCAGAGATCATTCGAAGGAAAAGCCTAAGGAAAGGAAAGACGATAAATGCAGAAATCTTTCGAGGGAAAAAGAGTTTGGGACTCCCAAGGAAAAGGATGTGGAAAGGTCCAGGAGAGCATCAACTCCGCATGATTCCTTTAACGAAAACTCCAAGAAAAGCGACCACAAAGTAAAGAAAAAGGACCAGGCTCCTTCCTCGTGGGAGGGGAGAGAAGGAACTCCTCCCACTACGCCGCCTCAGGTGTCTCAGACTCCACCTGCGGAAACCCCAAGGCCCAAGGGATACGATATATTTGCCGATTCACCTCCAAGATCAAACACTGCCGTTACAGCTCCAGCTGTATTTATGGAAAGAAGCACTACGCCGCCTTTAAAAATGAGTCCGGTTTCCATACCAATTGTGCCCATCTCCAAACCCGATAAATTGGCCCCACTGCTCAAGGCTAGCGAGATTCACAGCAGGATTGGCGCCCTGCTCGAGGATAGCGACTTACACTTGGAGGCCCTGTTGGCTACCAAAGAGCAGCTGTTCCGCCGCACCAATGAATACAAGGAGAGAAAAGAGGCGCCAAAGGAGATTAAAACGGAACCTCTGCCAAATAGTAGCTATAGGAAATCTGGTGGTGATAGGGCAGAAATGGTTCACAATAGCAGCCAACCAAGACATGTAAATCCGTTCAAGCGTGAATCAGTATTAAGTGGAAGGAAATCTTCCCCGCGTGCTTTAAGCAAGGAAAGGCGTCTTCAAAGAAACGACAGTCAGAGTGAAGAGGATTGGGATAAGGAACTGGAACTGGAACAAGAAAGAGATCTCGCACGTGGCAGTCATCGAAGTGGTTTCCAACCAGGGCGCAGTGATGAGTACAAACACATCAACATAAAGATTGAAAAAAATACAACGCCACCGCCCCAAAAAACAACCCTCACTGTTACTACCATCAAAATCGAACGCAATGCCACGCCCCCCAGGGAGGTGGAGCGACAGGTCCTGGTCAGGAATGGGGCTGTGGCTGCCAATGCACCTCCCCCCGCAAATGAGCAAGAAAGTCCTGATACAGACGACTACATTGACAACTGGGAAAACGACGATTCAATGACCAGTATGCCGAAGAACGCTCCGCCCGCTACTCCGACTCCGACTCTGACTCCTGCTCTCAATCTCAATGCCTCTCTGAATGCCACGCCCCTGCCTCCGCCAGCTACTCATTTTAATGGTGATGATGAGGATTCGAATGCCCTGTGGAATGCCAACAGCACACCACCTCCTCGAACCAAGGTTGCGAACCTGCCTACGAGCAATATCCATGAGTTATATGACAAGTTCATGAATAGTATTAAGATGTCCAACGAGGTTTTGGAGACGGAAACCCAAAAGGCCTCCAAAAACAGTTCCTTGAGTAATTCCACTGCCGACGAAAGTTCCTCGGGCACTGAAACTTCTTCAACAAGTAGCAGTAGTAGCGAATCTGGCGATGACTCGAGTTCAGAAGACGAAGATGCCAATGGGGATTCTTCGGATGAGGGAAACCTCCAAATAACGGGTAATTCTAAAACGAATCAAGAAGATGTCCCTGGAAAAGAGCACCAGCAAAAAAAGAACAGTGTCAGCAAGGATCTGCGCAAACTGAAAAGTCTCGAGGACAATCTGGCCAGGATTCAAAGGATGCGGGAGAATTACGATGCGGGCGATGAGATTTCCGAGGAGCTACTCAAAATGGAATCCCTATTTCTCATGCAGCGCAATGCCATAATGGACAAGTATCGCAAACAGGAACTGAAGAGCAGTGCAGGAGAAGATCAACAGCCAATAGATGAACCAGAAAACCTTCAGCACCCGGTGGAGGTTCAGCAGGCTGCCTTTCCTGTAAACAATATCTTCGATGCCAATCGTGAGGCAATCAAGCTGACCATCTCGCCTCTGAAACTCACAAGGAAATCAGCAATTTTCGATAAGGATGAACCAGAACAACCAGAACAATCCAAACTCGCGAAAGAGCCCCTTAAGCCAGCGCTGCAAAAACCACCCAAGGAGATTGCCATTGTTAAACCCACAATTGTCAAATCCCGATCGAAGCCCAGAACACTGAGGAGTCCACCACCGCCGACAGGGCATCGTCGCAGGTCTCGGTCGCGTTCTATCTCCAGAAACAGATCACGTCGTCGCGGTTCGAGGCCGAAGTCACGTTCCCCGAGCCCCAGACGTTGGCGTCCTCCGTCGCCGAGGAGAGGATCTAGGTACGCCAAGAGGATCGGAGGTGTAGGAGGAACCAAAATAGGGCGAAGTCACAGCAGGAGTGTGAGTAGGAGTCGAACGCGCAGCAGAAGTCCAAATAGATGGAGGAACCGTCTGCCACCGATAGTTGGGAATCGGAAACGTGGTTCTTTGTCTCCTGTTCCATCGAAAATGGCTGGACCCCGGTCACCACCTCCACCCTGCCTCCGTCACTCGCTAAGCCGGGACAGAGAACGAGAACGGGAGCGGGAACACTTCTCCCGGTCACGATCCCCGCTGCTTTTTAAACCACCATCGCCGCCCATGCGACGCAGTTGGTCCAAATCCCGCTCACCAACCAGAAGGAGATCCTACTCCAGGTCGAGATCCCGCTCCATATCGCCAAGAGCTTGTTCACCCACAGGTGGAGATTTCTTGAACTATTTCGAGGAGAATCAGGGAATGGAAATGGAAGCGGCCGCGTATTACTACAACATGTCGCTGACGCAGCAGGAGGATCAGGACGCGATGGGAGAGGGCTATGATATGTATGCCGCCTACATGGACTCCGCCTATAACATGGAACAGGCTTATGCCCAATACTCCGAGGACTACTCTAATTCCTTCGGGGACTATATGGGTGGAATGGGCAGTGCATCCTCACCTCAGCCACTGGGTTCGGTCCTCAGGGAGCTTCCCATGGCACCAATGGTTTCCATGGAATCCACGGAACCGCTGACTTCAATGGAACCGATGTTGTCAACGGTACCAATGGTTCCCATAGGATCGGTGGTTCCGGTGGCGGTGCAAAAGGGAAACGTTTTGGAAATAGTGCCTTCGGGCGAGGGTATTATAAAACCGGAGGAGAACGTACTGCCAGCTGTAATAGAGCAGCCAATTGAGGACAACAGGTAAGATAATCCGGGGGAAGATTCTAAGACCATCCTAATGATATACTTCCATTTCAGTAAACCCAAGCGGAAGAGCGTCAACTTCGTGGACAACGTGCTGCCCACTTACGAGAGCGATAACGAGGACCGCGCTGTGGTTGGAATCGCGGTGGAACGTGCCCTGCGGCAATATCAGGACCGTCGCTCCCAGGCCACCGCCAAACTGCAACAGATTCGCGACGAACTGCTTGGTATGCCTCCGCCACCGCCGCCTTTGACACCCAAGCCAGCCAATCTAGAGAAACCCGTGCTGGTGCAAAAGAAGCCCAAGTTCCGATACTTCCACTTCGACCCCATCAAAGGAGGAATTGTGAAGTCTTACTCACGAATCCTACGTTCACCCAGCCGCCCGCCCTTCGATCCCAAGCACTTTGCCATGCTGATGAAGACCGGACGCCTGCCACAATTTCCGCCCGGATTCTTGAGACACCGCCCGCCAATAATTCCTGCGAATGTAGATCCTGCCACGAGGTCAGCGATGCTAAAGGAGTTCTTCAGCAAGCACCCGCCACCACCGCTTCCGATGCAAATGACTATGCCGGATGGGATGCCCTATTATCTGAGTGGACCACCGCCAATGCCAAGTGGAGCTGTACTTTCTCCAGTGCCAGTTAACGTGCTGCCGCAGCCTATTCCCGTATTGGATGGAAGTGGTTATCAGGGTTATTCTGAGCCGGTTGCCATGGTACCATCACCAGTTCCAGTTCCTGTTCCTTTACCCGTGCCGCTACCTGTGCCTGTGCCTGTTCCAACCAGTTCTACGCCACCGCCCGCGATAATAGCTCCCTATTTCACACCACCACCGTTGCCCGAGCTGCCAATTCTTCCCGAACTGCCGTCTCAATTCACTGTGAGCTCGGTGCCCCCTATTACAGAAATAATGCCAGTCGATATACTGCAGAAATTGGGACCGTTGCCGAAAACTTTAGACGTAGATGATGGAGTAGGATCAGGCAGTCCAGAGGAAGCCAGCAACGATCTCAAGGAGGCGGAAGCAGAGCCAATCGAACAGCCAGTGGTGGACGTTAAGCCGCAGCTTCTTGTGGAGACCCAGTAGTCCATCCTTCTCCTAATAGTTTCATTCTTTAGCTAATAGTTTATTTAGATAATTTTCTTTAATTGCACATGGAAATCTTTTATCCTTTACTTTAAGATTTACTTTTTAAAAGTTTTGTTTTTTTTTAAATTTTTTTAATTGACCATTTTGTAAACAAATCGCATTTATTGATAAAAGTCTTGTTAGGTTTATTGAGCTCTAAGTTTGTATGTCATTTATATATGGTTCCACTTTGACCCAAGTCCATTGATTTCTACAAGAAAATAAAATTGTAAATAGTTCAATGCGCTTAAGAATTATACATGAAACACCATTTGGCGTATACATTACACAAGATTATAAATATTTTGAGTCATTTATTATAACGAAATTCTTATCGAATTAATCTAATATTAAAAAACTTATGAATGTATGTGAGATATACAGTGTGGTGTGAAACTATAAGGGTTTGTGTGAATGTACAAAATACAGAAATGAAATACAAATATTTAAGTCAATGCGTTATATGAATCTTTGAAAATATGGTTAGTAACGGAGAAATAAAAGTTTAACAGCGTTTTAAAAATCTTAAGACCTTAATAAACGAAAAAATGTATTCTGAAAAATCAATATTAATGGCGTAAAAATACTTCTCATCTTGATTTATTGTTTTTTGCTATTTCATGATCATAAATGTCTTATCTGAATACTTTTTATACTATTTTTTCATTATCCTACAAATTTATTGATACCTTAAAGTTTTTTACCAAGTCTTAGCTAAGCCTCCTTTGAGGATGGTCTACTTAATCTTTCGATTTCCTACTACCCTTTTTAAATGCTATTCCTAGGTGTCAAAACTAGCGGAAAACAATTGGCAGGCAGTGCCAAACTCTCTGGACTGATCTTAATCGTCGATAGGTCGTTGCTGCTTACATTATATCTCTGCAGTATGTTAACTAAGACCAGGAAACCAAACCCCCTGACTAAATTCTGACCAATGCAAGTCCGCTTTCCAATACTAAAGGGTAGAAAATGGGGAATATTCTTTCTAAGTTGCAGTTTAACCTTATCGCTTTCGATCCCCGAATCGGAACCATCGGTACTTTTGGGGCTTTGATCAATTGATTTTTCTAAGAATCTTAACGGATTAAATTCTTTTGGATTGATCCAATTCTTCTCGCTGGTGTTCAGCACATAATTGTTAATAAACACAATGGTGCCCATTGTTACCCCATAGCCAGAGATCACTGTATCCTCTGTGGCAACATGGGGAACAATCGGTGAGGATGAGTATCGCAGCACCTCAAAAATCGTGGCCATGGTATAAGGCATGGTATTCATATCCAGTAGATTAACTTGTCTGTTCTCCTCCGATGTAATGGCGTCTATTTCCTCCTGGATTCTCTCTCCTATTTCCTGATGCTTGGCTATGTAGGCCAATACTAGCATCACCAGATTTCCGACCGCTGAGTGCCCACCAATGAAATCCTCCAGCATAAAGATGATCGTGTTCCGGGAGACTTCTTTATCCTCTATGAGACTTCTCAGTAGAGCATCGGTAAAATCTCTATCTGGTTCATCCAAATCGATGTTCAGCTCTCGGTGACAGATAATTCGCTCCATTATAAATTTTCTGATGGTCGAGGACCAATTGATGATTTTGTTGACGTGACGCTGATAAAAGGGATACAGCCAGGGTAGGAAGTCCATGGGATGACCCTGATTGATCTCCCAGAAAATCTCGTCAAAGTACTGCACAATCAGCTGGAATTCCAGATCATCGTAGTCAAATCTCTGGGAACACATATATTGACTAAACATGTTTCCACAGGCCTTGAGAATAAGAGGCTTTATCTGGATGGGTTCTCCGGGGATTAGTTGGTTCTTTAGCTCGCGATTCCAGAACTCCATCTCCTCACAGCCAATTTGGGACATTTTCATGTAGAAGGAAGATGATTCTCTGGGCGAGCAGTGACGTCTGGCGAGGTTCCTCCTTTTCTGCTGCAGCTGTGACCAATCGCAGAGAGCCAATGAATTACTCCGCTCGCCTCCAAACAATTTATGATATCGTATAAAGTCCGGTCGTCCACTCATTACCTTGCCGTTTTCATTTAAGACCTCACGGATCAGCTCCAGATTGTTCACCACCAAACAGCGCGTGTGTCCAAAAGTCAGGGAGTATATGTCACCATATTGTTTGGCCAACTCGGTAAATCCCGCAAAGGGAGTATCTCTATAGCGATCCAGCAGATGTAGGTTGCCAATTATGGGCCAAGGTCGGGGTCCCGGAGCTTGTTTAAACTTTTGGTATACAAGCTCACTTGTTTGAGTTGACTTCTTATTTTTAATGGGCTGAATAACACGTCGCTTGAACCCATAGAAAATATTAATGTAAGATGTGATCACAACACCAAGAATAATGGCCAAAACAGTATAAGCCAAAATAGCGAACATTTTCGCGTTGTTCTTGAAGGTAGGGAATGCAAAACACAACTGACGATGGTCGAGCAGTTTAAGTAAGCAGGTAAGCTCCTAGTCAGGATTTTTAAAGGTCCTTCGGAAAAACTATTTTGCCATCTGTGGGGTGAGGAATTACCTGCTAATTACCTTTCAGTAGGCAGCTACCTGTTTGTTTTGGTTTAAAGAATTTGTTTTTCCCATTTAAAGGACTACATGAATCATCAGGATGAAAACTGATAAGAGGTATTTCACTCTCTGCAATATTGTTATTCGATTTGAATATTAGTACTCTAAATTGCTCAGTTTTATTATAAATAACATATTGGATTTTACAACATATTAGCGTTTTATTCCCCTTGCATTAAAAGAAAATTTTAATATATTTACCGAAACTTTTAGGAGTTTTGATTTTATTTTCTATCACTTTCCCTTATCTTAAATTATTCTTTGTTTATTGAGTATTCCGAATGAGTATGCGATTTTAATAGGAATTTTATTACTCATTAAGTTTGTCCTTGGCGAAGGGTCCAATATTGGCCGCATAAGCCATCATCGCTGGGATGGAACTCTGCTCGAAATTTCCAGTGAACAGATGCTCGTAGGGACCTGAGGCGAAGACACCCACATCCTCGGCGCCATGGGTTTCGCTACTCAAAGGAACCGTGGCCTGGAAAGCAAACTCCGCATTCGTCGTGTCCATATGGGAAAGATCAATGCGTCCAGACTCTGAACTATAAGTTTCTTCAAATCCTGGACCATTTGCATAGGACAGGATGGTGAAAGGCAGCTCGTCATCAGCCATGTTGGGAGCCAGGGACAGGATGTTCTGACGACGATACTAAAAAGGAAAGGCGGAAAAATATATTAGAAAATTAAACATTTTAAGTAAGGTTTTATTTTATGCATTCCAGTTTGAAAATTACTAATAATCTTAAAAGTCAAGAAAATTAAATTAATACGTAGATTTTGCAAATATTCCGCTGTAAATAAAAATGTCCTTTTAATCTTAATTTTGAATAATTTAAGTGATATTAATATAATAAAGTAATATTTTATACTTTCATAGAACTTATTATATTTAAATTGTTTTTCTTATTTTAAATTTCCGTATTTTGTATTACTCACCGGATAGCCATTGATAGACATGGTGTGCGAGTGATCCGAGGTAACCACAATGAGAGTGTCCTCCTCGTTGGTCATTTTCCTTGCCATTTCCACGGCCGCCGCGAATTCCTGGGTATCCTCTAGAGCCTTCCTCGCTTTCGTGGCATGATGGGCCATGTCGATCCGGCCGCTCTCCACGAACAAGAAGTAGCCCTGCTCATTCTTGCTGAGCAAATTAATGGCTGCTTCTGTCATGTCGGAAAGGGATGGCTCTGCATCTTCGTAATGGGTTCGCCGACGGTCACCATGGTAGGGCATATGGGAGGTGTCGAAGAGTCCAAGAAGGTAGTCCGTCTTGCTAAGGTCCGTTTCCTTGAGTCCCTTGAGCGACCAGACATACTTCCCCTCCGATCCCTGTTCTTTCTTGATCTTCTGCCAGTCGTGGATCAGATTTCGGCCATCGGTTCGCAGGCCCGAAACACCAGTTTCATCGTGCATTGATTGATCCAGGAAATAGGACCGACCGCCTCCCATAATAACGCGAAGCTCCTGACCCACCGGCCACTCCACCAGTTGGCGGGCCACATCCGTGTTGACATCTGGACTGCAATTGGAGTTGACGATCTCACCATCGTGCTCCCATTCCCGCTCGGCAACATGAGCATAAACTCCGGCTGGAGAGGCATGTGTCACCCGGGCGGTGGACACTATTCCCGCCCACTTGCCCGCCTCCTGGGCCCACTGACCGATACTCTGGACATGGGTACTGGAATTGGTAACACAATCGCCCCTTTGCACCTGGGCATTCACTCCAAGCGTTCCATAGTTGGCCTTGACTCCGGTTAAATAGGCCGTGGCTGTGTTGGCCGAGTCCGGAGTGCGTTCATTCACCGCGTAAGTTTTGGACAGTCCCAAGTAGGGGAACTTCTCGAAGAAGACCTGCTTGTTGCTATCGCCCATGAAGGCACGTGTGGCTGCTATCGTATGGATTGACATTCCGTCGCCCAAAAATAGGATCACGTTCTTGGCTCGGTTTTCGTTAAGTTTGTTATGGCTGGCCAGCTTATCGGCCAGAATCGATTGGGCCTTATCATGCCAAAATCGCGTTTCCAACTCCTCGTCGAGGGCCTCGAAGTCGCGTGATGACTGCAGTCGGGGATGTTGGGCTGTAAAGTCCGGACTTTGGGTTAGCAACTAATCGGCGGGAAAGTTGGTCCAATAAAACTACACTTTCAAGTGGTAAACATGTTTTCTGACGGTCGACTCGATTAGATCTATAAATCTGTTTTAATTATAACTTTTTAAGGGCATGGCCTACCGTTTAATCGCTGCAAAATCGCACCTGATTAACATGTAATAAAACGTGCTAAAAACGTTTTAATCTGTAGAATTGATTTCATCATGAGTCAACAAAATTAGCTGTTCTCGTGACTATTAATTTTAGTCCAAAAGATTTTATATTTGAAATTAAATGATATCCTTTTTTGGTTGTTTAGTAATATTATGTTTCATTTCACAAGACTCCTTTAATTTTTTATAAAACATTATTACGATTGACTCTTTCCTTTTCAATGTTTTTAAAAAATTTATAAAATTAACATAATTTGAAATAAAATTGTATTTAAGGTTTATAGAAGTGTTATTGCCTTAAATTTTTTATTCACAGTTTCTCTTTTAAAAGCTATATTTATCTATTAATTTGGGAATAGTAGAACAAATATAAGTGTACGATTTTCTGGCTTTTATTTTTTGGATAATTGGATAAATTGATCTATTCTAATCTATAATATTTATTTAATCCTAAACTTAATGAACTCGTAAACTATCAACATGGAACTCCCTTTTTCAATTATAATTAACGATCCCCTTGATCACGTGAAAAAAAACGTTTATAATTGATTTCACGCAAACAAATGAATCGTAAATCATAATAGCTCTTGAATGACTGAACCCTTTCAAAAATAGATTTAGATTAGCAGAGTCTAATAAAGTGACAAGATTTGCGATAAGATGGGTGGGCTATTTCAATTGGCTGTAGATAAGGTGGGGGTCCAAACGAATCGGATTCGTTCGGTGCTCTCTTCGTAATATGTTTCGGTAACACTTACCATTTTCTTGGTCATCGGTAAGTTCACTCCGGACCTGGATGAACAGGAGAGCGATGAAGCACAAGATCAGGCAACTTTTTCCCATCTTGAGGGGGCGGTAACTTAAAACTGAGAAATGCTCGGTTCGGGAGTGACCGCGAGACTGGCCAAATTAGACGGATTGGCCGGTTATATAGCCTCCGAATTTGCGAAGCTTTCTTCCTGTTACATACAAATACGCATTATATTGGATTGTTTTTGTGATTTGAGCAATCTAAAGTGGCGATCGATTAATTATCTCGAGTGCCTAAAAACGTGAGTTTCACGGTCTGGTCAAGAAGGGGTCGTAAATTACCCGATCCCCAAACTGCCCTATCGACTCCTCACACGAGCTGCACCTGATGGTATATTAATGGGCGGTAGGCTACTCCGGAGTACAGTATTCACTTGGCTGGCGCAGTGAAAGCATCTCCAAAATGCTGAGTCTTAAGTTCTGGATTGGCCTGGGCCTGTTGACCATCGTTTCGGGTGCAGCGGTACCTGGAAAGCCTCCCGTTGACGAGGAGCGGATTCATCCCCATCTGCCCAGTAGTCCCAGACTGCGTGCGATTTCCGGAGAGGACACCCAGGAGTACTGGCACTCGGCCAGCAAGAAACTCATCCGCGAGAAGTTGGAGTATGTCAGGAACACGAACAAGGCCAAGAACATCATCCTATTTCTGGGCGATGGCATGGGCTTGGCTACTCTGGCTGCTGCCCGCAGTTATATCGGAGGTGAGGAACTGAAGCTCTCCTTCGAGGAGTTTCCTTTTACCGGGCTGTCCAAAACCTATTCGGTGGACAAAATAGTTCCCGACAGTGCCTGTACTTCCACGTCCTACCTTTGCGGAGTGAAAGCCAACTATGGAACCATTGGCGTCAATGCCCATGTGAAGAGAGGCGACTGCTTGGCTATGGCGAATGAAACGAACCACGTGTTCTCGCTGGGAAAGTGGGCCCTGGATGCGGGAAAAGCAGCAGGAATAGTGACCACCACCCGTGTGACCCATGCCTCTCCGTCGGGCGTCTACGCCCATGTCGCCGATCGCGAGTGGGAGAACAACGCGGTCCTGGAAGAGGCCTGCGGTGAGCAATCGGAGGGTCTCCAGGACATAGCTGTCCAGTTGATTCATGGCGAAGTGGGCAGCAAACTCAAGGTAATGCTGGGAGGAGGGAAGCGAAGCTTTTATAGTCCGGAGCACTACGACAAGGGACGGCGCACAGATGGCCGTAATCTCGTCGAGGAATTCGAGGATTTGGATGAGGGTAATAAGTTCGTCAAGACCCAAAAGAAGCTGCTAGCTGTAAACGCCACTGAAACGGGCAGATTATTGGGTCTGTTCAGCAAGAGTCACATGCACTACCATCTTGAGCAGTTGGCCGATCCGGAGAACAATGAACCCACCCTGGAGGAGATGACTCAGAAGGCTATTGAAGTGCTGGAAACCGAGGAGCAGGGCTACTTCCTCTTCGTAGAGGGTGGCAAGATCGACATCAGTCATCACAGCACTAAGGCACGAATTGCTTTGGATGAGACCGCCGAACTTTCGAAGGCTGTGAAGAAGGCCAGAGAGATGACCAATCCGGAGGAGACGCTCATCGTGGTCACCTCAGATCACTCGCATACATTCAGCGTGTCCGGATATCAGCCCCGAGGTAGCGACATCTTTGGAACGGCGAAGGCGAAGGGCAAGGATGGCAAACCCTATTTGGCGTTGAGCTATGCGAATGGCCAGAGTTTCGAGGAATATTACAACACGGTGACCCACGAACGAGAGGATCCCACCAGTCTGCTTAACATCGGTGACTTTAATCAGCTTTTCCCGGCCACGGTGCCACTGGAATCGGAGACTCACGGAGGCGAGGATGTCGGCGTTTTTGCCTCGGGACCCTGGGCCCATCTTTTCACCGGAGTCTACGAACAGAACACCATTCCCCATATCATGGCCTTTGCCGCGTGTGTTGGCGATGGATTAACCGCTTGCGATTAGGAAGAAAGAGATGATTGACAGGCCGAAGGACTCTTAATTAACTCGACCACTGGACGATTCTCACGTACGCTTTATCGCTTTAAATGAATACTCAACAATTGACAGGTGCTGGTACACATGGCCTTCGAGAAAAATAAATTCGATCGGGGATACTCGGACATGTGTACAAAAAAACCAAATATACTTATATTGTCTGATAATAAGCAGACATCAAAAACACGATTAAATCTTTAAGAAAAATTTTAATTTTGGACTTTGTCTTTGGGGGGTGTGGTGTATTCGAAAAATGTGGAAAGAATTGCTTTTAAAATACTTACATACTTTCGGCTGAGTACCTTTTTATTAGTGGGTCTAAAGATCTAGATAGTTAGCTTGCCGACTTTCAATTCAAATACCAAATAAACCAAATATATTAATCAGATTATATGTCGACATTCTTGTCTGATAAAGACTTTAATTTTATGCGTCGGATTTTATAGTCCTAGTCAAATGACGCAAAAAGCTGATATTATTAAAATTACTTTAATCTTTTTTGTGTGCAAAAACATTGAAATTTTTTTTATAAATTTGTACATGGGTACTAAGTTGCATGCCTAAGTTGAATTATAAAAAAAAGATTCTTAAAGACATGTAACCTCTTAGGAATTCGAATGTTTAATTTATATAAAATACTTTATTTTAATGTCCCAGAAAGGTGTAAGGTCTTTTGTTGGAAAATACAAATATAGCTGTGTTCATCTCTAATAGAGATTATGAACTTGGAAAGTGAATTTGTTGAAGTAGGAAGGCTGGCCCCAAAAAAAATGATCTACCCTCCGATTCTTAGAAATCTTATTTTTAAAATTTCATCAAAAAAATACCAACTGATTTGTGTCTATCAACAAATAAAGCAACAAATTGAATTTTTAAGTAGACAACTTATTGCGATTTGATTTATATCTCTTGTATTTTATTCTTGGAATTCCTGTTATCAAAGTCGGCAGTATGAATGATTAGACAGTCAGCCGAACGAGTTAATAAAATTTTAAATCATTGTAGCTACCTTTTTATTATAATACAATTAATTTTTCTTAAGAATCTCTTATATTTATGGTACATATTTTGCGCATAATCATTGTTGACAATTATCATTGCGGAATGCCGTTGGGAATACCCGATAAGTATTTATATTTTTGTTAAGTCGTCGGTTGTCGATTCTAAGAAACATATTTATCTTTGAATTTGTTTACTTTAAGTACTAATAGCGATGCCTAAGCAATTAGCACGTGAGAACCAGTTGGATTGTTGTGATGAAGTTAACAAAGGCCATAAAAAAGCCGGGGTTCTACTGATCTTTTAAGCCTTTTTGTAAAAAATAAAATTGCTATTAATTTGGAATGTTTTTTTTTTTAACATAGCCCTAATGTTTCTTAATACAAGAATATGCATCGATCTTTGAACGCCAAAATAGATGGCAAATACTTTTAATCAATCAAAATTTTCAAGTTAGAACGTTAAACCATTGGATTATTTTTAGAAATTATCAGTGCAGTTTTTATTTATATATTCAATTAACTCCAATCTTGACTTTGCTCCTCAAATGATGACTGCATATTGATTAGTATTACGTGGTTGGATGAGCGTCGCATACTTCTCCTTCAGCTCAACCAGAGCCCTCTGAAAGTTCTCCATGCTGTTCTCCAACTGGTTGGGATGACCTTTAGGAGTCAGTAGGCCATCGTGGGATCTCTCTCCCAGGAGGAGAATCCTCCGCCAATCGCTGGCATCGGAGCTTCCTCGCAGAAAGTCCTTTCGATTGCCCACGGCAAAAACAGTTTCTTCTATATTTTCCGGCAGTAATGTAGTCGGCGGGGATCCCAGTTCTCCGGGCGTTGGTTGGGTGGCTGCCACTTGCACAGCCGGTGGTGTAATCCCCGACAGAGATGCGGAAGTGGGCTTAGGTGGTGGAATCGCAGCAGCAGGAGAATCAAATAGTTCTGTAGGCAGATTCTGCGGTCTTTCGATCTGCATGACTTGGCCATCGGGTGAAATGTGGAAGAACTGAGCGCGACCAGTTAGCCCCGTTCCTGCTCCTCCGGGAATGACTATAATGTTGCCCACTGCAGTGGTCAGCGCCGAAGCTCCACCAAAACCACCACCAGCTTGGGTGGAAATAAACGGTGGCACAGGCACTCCAGGTGGCGGGAATGACCTCAGAGGTGGAGCCGCCGGGCAGGGGAAGCAATATCCAGGAGGACCCGGTGGCCCTGGCAAGCCTCTAGGTCCAGGAATAATGGGCAGATTCGGAGGATAAGGACCCGTGGGCGGATAGCCCCAGTAGCCAGATCCACTGCCACCTAGCCCATTCGAATTACTTGGCGGCCCAGGTGGACCAGGAGGTCCTCGCTCACCCTTGGGTCCAGGATCACATGAGCACTTCACCAAAGAAGACTGAACAGTGGAACAAAGGCCTACAGCAAAATAACAAATTATGAAATTGTAAAAAAATCAGGAATCTTTACAAACTCACCCAAAGCCAAAATAACCAAGAGACCCAAATATCCCATGATGTTTGTGAAAAAGCACTTCAATGCAGACTGAGCTGAGCCTAGAACTCGCCAGCTGCTTTTATAAGCTGGAATATTTGGGCCTGGCTCAAATTAGTTGACAACCATTTTAATATGCATATAAAACAAACAAAATAATCTGACGATCGAAACCAAAACACATTTCCCGCATCTCTATAACTGTTCTTGGCCCACAATCGAAAGGGAAATGTTAAACAGATCAAATGGAAAATTCCATCACCAAGGCGGTCGCTGACGTTTATGATAATTTATGCAACAAAATATACACGAACATCATTAGGCTCTCTGGCCAAGCCTTTAAACTGGGTCAGCAGGGTTCTGATTCTTGGCCAACAGCCCGTGAGGGAAACTTCAAAAATGCATCAAATGTCAATCAAGTCGTAAAATGTGATTAAATCAGACAATTTATGTTACTAAATGTGGGCGCTTGCCATCAAAATGACACCCAGACATTTCGATCTCTGTAGGAAACTATTGTCATCACCTTTGCAGAGAAAAAAGGAAATTCTGGAGACCCCGTCGCAAGCGCCGTTATAGTTTTCATGTGCCAGAATTAGCATAAATTACGAAATCAATATGTTCTTAATCAGGTTCCACCCCACGACGGATTTAAATGAAAAGGTTCTGCGACATTTCCGACTTATCTGAGAATTCCATTGACAAAGCCTCTGAAAACACGCGTCATTAGTGGCACTCGTCTATTCTGTAAGTGTCCACTTTTAAACGAGCGCCAGTCACTTGAAAACTGGTGATATTGGGCCCGTTGAACGTTTAGATAAGCGGAAAAGTAAAACCGGACGAAGGAAGGCTGTTAGCCTCAGTCAAAGTGTATAAATACTCTGAAAACAGTCACTGCTCTTTTAGTAAAAATCTTCGCTGAAAACTATGTGTTCCTTACTATCCAATAAGATCCAAACATCTCTCTAATTTTAGACATCAAGTTCGATTACATTATATAAATTTATAAAGTTCAAAAAAATTATAAATAAATATTGTTAATCTGAGTAGGCGGAAATCCTCCTTAAGTTTTTAAGGGTATAACAGACATTGCTTTGCAAACATTGCAGTGATTAATCTTGTCGTAATAATAATTCAAGTACGAAAGCTTAAACTGAACCCTATCAGTAACTGAATGAGCCCCAAAAGTCTTTATCAATTGTCATGGAATAATCCCAAAGTGCCTGTACCGCCCTGGTGTTTTATTTTTTGTTTGCCATTGTTGCTTCCCAAAAATCATTAAGAATGTTAAAAATTGGTTATTGGCCCTCTAAATGAGAAGATAAGCAGCCCAAAACAATTAAATGCAAAAAATCGAAAAAGAATACCGCTAAAGTTGTTTTCCTCCCAAAAATTAAAAAACAATTTGAGGGTCAATGTTACTGGGCGGATCAAGAGTGGTTTAACGATCTTGATAATGATCAACATGAAGGTAAAATCTAAAATAATCAACGTATTGGTTTTATATATTGAATTTATTATAAGATTATCGACTATTGCTAATCAGCACATTTCTTGCATCGTACATAAACTTAATTGGCGCAAACAAGTTCAAGTCACATTTTGTTGCAATTGCATAGATTGATAAGTTTTCTAGGCAAACAATTCAAATAAAATATTTGATGTATACGGTACGCAAGCATACGCCAACGCAAAAGCACATATAAGGCAAAAAAGTTTTCTTCGGACTTTGTAGGAAAAATATATGACTATCAAGATTTAGATATGAAATTAAATAAAGAAATCTAGAAAAGGTTATATATTTTTGTTTAATAATTAGTAATTTTATGGAATTTAAGGAGATTCCAGTCCAAATAGATAAGATTTATAATTGACTCTTAAATCTATCAGAACGTAAATGCAACAAACTGAGCTTTCAATTTACAATTATATCTTATTGTTATTTTTTCTACATTTCATTAAAATTGAATCCGCTTTGCTATTTCTTAGTTCATTGTCTTACAATCCCGAAAAGCACTATTTAAGTTATATATGTGCCTTGCGTATACATCGTTAAACTGAATATTTAATCTTTGGTGCGAATACATTGGACTGGCATTCATTTTCACACCAAAATGAGAAGTGAGAAACACAAAGAGACGGAGAGAGAGGAGCCAACTGGAGCAAAAGTAAACACACAGAACTAAAACTCTACTCAATAAATACAAGTGTAAATCGATTAGGATGATATACAGATCTGGGGGCGGGTTGCGGCAAATTGAGTCGCAGGGCTCTTAGTCTATTTTCACATTGGAATAGATTTTGCGCACGAAGAGATTCGTGCCCACATAGCCGACGGTGCCGCAGATAATTCCCAAGGCGCCGCTGAAGAGAGCCATGTAGCCAAAGTAGAAGGCCGTTTGGAATAGACCAAACATTCTGTAAAAGTACATCATATTTATAAAAAAACAATCATTCTTAAATTCAAAAAAGCGACTTACTTGGTCTTGAAAAAAAAGTAATAAAAGGAGTAGGCATATACGTAAATGGACGTGGAGCCTGCCGCCATGAAACTCGTCCATTGCCATCGGTAGTCCTCCGCATTCAACAGGAAGTATGTGCACACAATAGTAACACACACCGTAACCACAGTCAAGATGCTGAACACCAGCAACATGAAGCCATAGACATAGTAGATTTTGTACGCCCAGAAGGAAGTGAAGATAAAGTACCTGTTGGGGAAAACAGAAAAAGTACGGGTTGTATTAAAGTTGTCCTGCATTAAAAGAATTGTCTTTAAATAATAATAATTTTTGGCAATTTAAATAACATTATTATTATTAAAATATATTAAGACTTGATTTTTATAGTATGCGTTCTTCGAATTATTTGGACATGTAATGAGTCGTTTTGAAGTTCAATTTCAAATATTAGGATTATATTTGTACAGGGAAGTTGAAGTATTACGATTGTTTTTAAAATAATAATATAATATAATGTATTGTAAAATCTTGTTTTTCTGTTTTGATGAGAAGTAACTTGAAATGTCAAAGAAACACTTACATCTCAATGAAGATGGATCCAAAGGGCAGGACGCCACCCAGAAGCACAATAATCAGCGGCTCCATGTACCACTTCTTTTCAGGAATAGGCCGTGGAACAGCGTTCACTCGACAAGGGAAGTCCGGCTGACCATCCAGATTGCGGCCGACCACAGTGCCCACCAAAGTCAAGGGCAGGATCACAAATATACAGATGCAGGTGACCGCCACCATGGTGCCAAAGGGAATGGCTCTCGATGCATGATACCCGATAGCAATGAAATTGATAAGGAAAGCCGTGCCGCACACAGCCACTGGAACTGTAAATGCGGAGACCAGCATCTGCCGAATCCACATTCGTCCTCCCAATCGGGCATATAGCGATCCTCCAAAGTAACCATTAATTGGAGAGGTGGCAGCATACACAAATATAGCCGTCGACAGCATGGAACCGCGTTCCGTGTAAAGTTCACCGACTATCGCGAACATGATCACACAAAACACCACCGAAATCAGTTGGTAACCAGCTCCTACCAAGGCCGAAAAGAGAAGAGTATTGGGTGGCGAACGGAAGACGTCGCCGTGAACCTGCTTCCATCCGTATTCATCGCCAAGATCACGCTCCATGTCGTCTACCTCTTCGTCTTTGCTGTATCTGGCATAATCCTTGCGCAGAGTTCGCATCAAAATCATAGACACGAGACCCACCAGGAAAATTACCATCATGAAACTGTTGAATATGCTAAACCAATGGATCTGTAGAGGATAGAAGAAAATGGGTTATTTAAATATTTGTTTTTTTTAAATAGGTATAGTTTTGCATATATAATCTATAACGCATTATTAATTGTTGCAGGGTTACTAAAGTGACAATATTCGTATAGCAATGGAATGTTACTGGTTACAATTTTACGCGCAAGATCAAATCATCTAAAACTCATCTTTATCTATTAACTTGTGACAGCTACATTTACAGATTTTTTATTAAAGATAATTTCTATTGGGAGCCTGATGAAAAGGTTATTTTTTCCGTTCGGGCTGTATAACAATGAATTATAGAGAACATTGCTCTGTTACTTAATACGCACCCTGTGCTGGAAAAAGTTTGGGTCCAGGTACTTGTCGAATCGATTCTTGAACTCCACCTTGCTGGGCTTCCAGTTAACCTCGTAGGAGAAGTTGATTTGCGATCCCGGCTTGAGTTCCTCCCGAGCCTCGGTGGTCAGGGTGATGTCCACAATTTGCTGGCCATTGTAGCCAATGTCGAACTTCTTGTGCGAGAAGATATAGTATTTTCCGTCCCGTTCGTCCCGCTCGCCCACTTTTCCCCATATGGGTAGCCCATCGATGTACATCTGGTACCAGTACTCGTTCTTCACGGCATATGTAAATGCCTTGGCGCTCTCCTCCTGCAAGGTGACCATGCAGATGACGGATCTCGGGGCATCGATCTTAAAGTCCATCTCGTAGCCACTGAACTCCAGTTCCACCCCTTGAAGCGCTTCACTCAGGGTCTCATGATAATGCGAAATCGAGGACTTCTGGCCATTGCAAAAGGGCAGGGAGAAGTAGGCGTAGGTCTCCTGCCGATTGTGGTACGGACCCACCGTGTTCATCCAAAGGACTACCTCCTCCCGGTCATTGTACTAGAGATATGGGAGATGTAGTTGGAACTAGACATGGGCTAGATATGGGATCAAAACTCACCTTGTGGTTGTGCTCATCCGCTTGGGACTGCGACACGTAGCAGCTGGCGATGAGCAGACATAAACAAATTGCACGGAGCTGCGGCCGAGCCATCGCGGTGATGGAGATTTTGGTGGTGCCGACCATCGTCAGTGGTGACCTGGATAACGCTTCTTTCCGGTGACTTTGCTCTGCCGGCTTGCTTCGCTTGCCCTTGGTAAGATTGCCTTGCCAAACAATTGTGTGGCAAATACAGATTTGCCGACAGGAAAATTAGATCTCGTAAACGTAAAGTCAGTTCATTTGTGCTAGTTCCGGTTTTTGGGAGCTGAATCACAGAACTAGAACACACGTCACTTGGCCAAATCGAGCGTTTTGCAACACTGCCGCTGCAGAACTTAGTGTGGCCATTTACGTATTAATTTTGAAAATTTCGCTTACATGTATATTTTAAACCTTACATATGTTTTTAAATTATCTTAATTTGCTTTATCCATTTTTGTATTTAATAAAAAACATTTTGTAAGTTCTAAAACCTATTTTAATTGGTGTTTCCGAATACCAGTTTTATTTTTTTTAAAGTTTGTTACGCAGTGAAGGAGACGTTTCTGACTCTCTACAATATAAATTCCTTATCAGCAAACGAGTTAATATAATTATTCAGCATGTCCGTCTGTTTGCGAGCTCAGTTAAAAAGCGATAGACTTAAAACGTTCGCTTTCTTTTTTTTTATGTGTACGCAGATGAAGTTCGAAAACGGCGGACATCGGAAGGGTATATCCTAATCGAGTCAAAATGTTAAATTTCGCAATATTTTTTTTTATTTTTAATATAAAATGAGGTTATTAGTGTAGAGAACCTATCCCTTGACATTTGATCAATATCGGTTGGACAATATCCCATAGCTGCCATATATCTGTCTTACGGTTATATGCCGATTATTCGCGGTGTGTAAAAGATAGATTCTTGGAACTTTCCAAATCGTTCTTTTTATATGTACACTGATCATATTAAATCTTGCGATCGGTCGTCTATACCCTATAAATGCCAAAGGATCAGGTCAAAATTGTTTAATTTTGCCGTTTTTTTAATCCTTTCTTAATATAACTTAAAATGTGTAAAATGGAAAATATAAAAAGTGTCCTTTTTAATGTTTTTCAAATGTAATCTCACTTAAATTTGCTTTCCTTTTCAGAATGAAACTGATATCAAAATATGCGTTGCTATGTGGTGTTAAAATCTAATGCTTTGGGTTGACTAAGAACACATCTGAAATACAAAAGCTTATTCAGATTCTGGGAGATTTGTTCCAGTAGAATTTTTGGATCGGATCAGTCATTTTAAAACCATTGTCGGGAACGACGAAAAGTAAGAGCGCTTGCGTTTGTAATCCTCAGCTATCTTTGTTGGTGTTCTTTTACTTGGATTGGAAGTGCTAAGGTCTAAAAGTGATTCGGCTGTTTGTTCTGTATAGGCTCATGCCAGTTTCTTAAATCTGTTGCATAATATACACTTTTTGTTGTTTGAGTAAAGTACAACATTTTCTGAATTCAAGCAATGTTTTTTTTTAATGAATGGAAACTTTACCTACGTATTTGATAAATCAAACATATCGATGAAAAACATGGGTTGGACCCTCGGATTCTCTAAGATTGTTTTATACAATCTCAAAAGTTTGTTATCCAATTTTATTTTTATGAGTCAATGTATGAACTAAAAATGCTATACAATCATACTCTCTCTCTCTCTTGATATTATTTTAAAATTAATCTGCGATATGAACATCTCGGTCATAATATAATGACCAACACGTGAATGAAGTAAAGGAATTAGTGCTCAAAAATCGTCGGTTGACTGTTAGAGACCTTACTGATATGATCGGAATATCAGAAAGATCTGTGAAAACCAATCGACGAGGGCGCTCATGGCTATACCGGAAAGAGACTATTTGGCCTATTTCGAGGATTTGAAAAAACGTTGGCATCATTTTTTTTATCGGGAGGGGATTACTTTGAAGGGGATGAAATTGATTCAGGAGAATAAATAAAGAATTTTCACTTTACAAATAAATTCACCTTACTTTTTGCTCACAGTAGTATAAGTATTACGGTCACAGAGATTATAATTTTCTTTAGACGCAGACTCCAAGTCCTACCTTCATCAAACCTCGAATAAAATGCGTCTACTTCTGGGATATTTGGCTGCTGTTATTTTACTGATGGTGCAACATTCGAGTGCGGAAATTGATGATTGCGATTTCTTTGACACTGTAAGTCTCTCGGCAGACCAGAGGATCCAGAATGGTTCATATCTTTATGAGGGAGTTCTCATTCCCGCCCATTTGACGGGTGAATATGACTTCATTTTCGCAAACGGCTCCAAGAAGTGGGTCCCCAGCTACATGAGAGGATGTGTCTGCAAACTGAGGACTTGCGTCAGGTTCTGCTGTCTCCACGACCACAGTCTGGATCCAAAATATAATGAAGAGTCACAATGCAACATTATGTTAGAGGACCACCAGGAAATGATCGATCCTTTCGTGGACATAACCCTTAAAAACGGGTCGGTGGTCAAAAGGCACTTTAAAAACGATCTAATCGTGCAGTGGGATTTGCCCATGCCTTGTGGCGATCCATATAAAGTAGACAACCAAAATGAAGGCGATAATTACACACTATACGAGGTATGTTTTCATCTTGTATATGTTAAAATTCCCAGCATAATCATCACTATTACTCCATAGAATGGAACCTTTATACGCCACTATGATAACGTGGTTATGAACAAGCGTGAATACTGCTTGCAGCACTTTCTGTTCAAAGACGAAAATAATAATATAACAAAATCTGTTCGAATTGTAGCCCACAACTGCCCTAATACGGAATCTAAAACAGGACAAACCATCGGTGAGTTGAAAGCTATAACTACTATAACTATAACTAATAACCGCTTCCCACAGTGATGATCACATCGCTATTTTTTATGGCTCTAACAATCTGCGCTCACCTCCTTGTGGAACAGCTAAGAAACCTTCATGGAAAGTGCATCATCTGCTACTTGGTCTGCATCTTCATGGGCTTCCTATTCCTTCTCCTTGACTTGTGGAAATTATCGTTGTCCTTCTGCGCTTTAGCAGGTTGGCTATATTATACGGCTGTACGACAAAGAATCATTGGAATTTTTCACCATTTTTCATTATTAGGTTTTATGGGCTATTTTTTCGTCATGGCTGCGTTCTTCTGGCTTTCTGTCATTAGCCTGCGCACCTTTACGAAGTTGTGCAACAAATTCAAATGGCTTTCTTTAGACGAGTTTGCGATCCTCAACACTTACGCCTGGGGATTGGCGGGGGCCTTGACCGGAGTCACCTACACAGCTCAAAAATTTGTAGCTAACGAAAATTGGAATCCTCGTGTGGGGGCTGGCCATTGTTGGATCGCAAGTACATTTTTAAATTAAATCGTTTTACAATGTATAAAGTATAAAGCCACCCTTTCCACTAACAGCTAACGAATGGTCTGCCATGCTCTACTTCTATGGACCGATGGTATTACTGATTGCCTTTAACATTACCATGTTTACACGGACGGCAATGGAAATAATGAAATCAAACCGAGAAATGAAGTTTTTCGAACAAAAGCAAGAAAGGTAAATCAATAAAAAATAATAGTGAAATCAATATCATTAAAATCCTGTCATATTCCCAAACAGTCATACTTATTTTTTGCGGCTCTTCATCGTAATGGGTATGACCTGGAGCTTTGAGATAATCTCGTATTTTGTCCAAAATGACACACTTTTGAGGAGGGCTTTTCTCGTGACTGACTACATAAATTGGTCCCAGGGTGTCATCATATTTTTGCTGTTTATCCTGAGGCGCAAAATTCTTAAACCCTCAAAGGAACGGTGAGAAATTCGGATTTTTATTTTCCTTTCTCCTCTTACTATCATGCTTACGACCTGAATTTACTTAGCTTGACTGTTTCACATTTTCATATCAAACTCTCTCGATTCTTTTCTCTTAGAGCCCCTTCAAGAGACACGACTAATACGAAATCAATAGCAAGTAAATCTTCAATTCCCTTATCCTTCAATCAGCGCTCAAGGAAAACTTCCTTCGGAGGCTCCCCCCATTCGGTTACAAAATTATAAAAAATATGATACGAAATAGTTGATCAATAAAAATATTAAATACGTCTGGGTCCGCCAGTGGTACAGAAATTTGTACATTGTATCTTACTTGTTATCAACCAACTATTCTGATTAAAATAAAATAATAAAAATAGCACAACAACTGACTTCTGAAATGTGACTGATTGCGATAGTGAACGACAACTTAGGCTAATATACAAATTATGAATTATTAATCATTCCAAATATGAGTCATACAAATTTAGGATCATTTGTGAATTTATTACTTAGTTTTTAGGAAAGAACTGACTGAGCGTGGGATGGGGTTCTGCCTATATCGATTGTATTTAGCATTTATGTTGAATAGATGAAAGCTGTCTATGTCTAAAAAAAACTATATATCGGAGAATTTTCGTACATGTTTAAAGACCGAAGTTCTGTGGAATTGCATGTTGTTTTCATATTTATTTTTCACTCTCTCCTATGGCAACTACGTGATATTATCGTCCGACTAAGACCGTATTCCTGAAATTGTTGAAATTTATTTCATCTCGAAGTATAAGGGTATATATTAAAAAAAATTTTTTTTTTAAGTTTCATCCAAATCTTTATAGCTAAGAATAATATGGGTATAAAAAAGGACAGACGGACATGGCTAGATCGACAATCCTGATGATGCTAATCAAAACGCATATACTTTATAAAGTCGGACACGCTTCTCTACCGCATTGCAAACTTTTGACTGAAAGTGTAATGCCCTCTACAGGTATATAATAACGATACAATATTTGATCTTGTTCGTTTTCTACAAGTTTTTCCAAAGCTGCAACAAAAACAAAATCATTTTTGTTTTAAATCTAAATTTGTTTTATTAATTGAACAAATTTTAATTTTTAAACTTCGAACTTAAAGAGTGCAAAATTCGGGCCAGACCCTACCGGAGCGGTCGTCATCGATGTCGAATCTTCTTGTTTATGTGCCCACTTTTCTTTGCCGTCGCACTGGAGTTGGTGGAAAGTTTGCTCTTTGTGTTGGGAGTGGGTGTGCCAAGAGTTGTTCCTGAGCTGGCTCCTCCAACGCCAGTAGATCCAGCGACCACTCCGGTGCCTCCAGTAACCGCCAGACTGCTTTCATTTCGATGCGAGGGGGAATCTGTAAAAAAAAAATTATTAAGTAAGAAAAATGCGAAAGAGGTGGAGTATTCTTGATTAATATAGACCTCTCAAGCTTATACGAGATTTTAATAATATTGAACTTCTTTTTAATAAAAACTGCTATATAAGGATTAGCTAAACCCGTTTTTATTGATTTGGGTATCGTTTCTGCAAGTATACTTTAAAAGTACCGAGCTTTTGATCAACTAATGTTTTTAAAATTGTATATGTATATTTTCTCTAGTTTTTTATGTTATTAATAAATATAACACATTTTCAACAGAAACATTTTAAACTTTAATATTAAGCATGAAAAGATTTATATTTTTTAAATGAGAACACGTCATTTTTACAGTCCATAGTTTTATGACTTATGTTTGTTATACTTTGTTTCCCTGCTAAAATAATCTGGTTAATTATAAAGTTGAGTTGGGATATTGTGTTTAGTAAGTAACTTCTCTTATAGCTTAGTTAAGTATTTTCTTTAATTCTAACTTTATTATCATAATATTATCTTTTTTATCATCATCTTCTTAGCCTTTGGGTAATAATAATTTATATCCTCTCGCTGTCGACATCATCTCCTGAAACTCTAGTTCTGTCTTACCCTTTTCATCTTTCGGCGTGCTCTTGATTGTAGTGGCTCCATCGTGGGCCGTTGTTGTGTTCTGATTGATTGAGATCTGATTGTCGCTGGAGTCTTCATTGGTAATGGAATCCGATTCGCTAGCGCGTTCAGCTAAAAATAGGCGAATTTTAGAATATTTCTATTGATAAAAAAGATGGAAACCTCAGCTTGTCGATGTTTATATCTTCTTGTCGGTATAAAACAAACTGATGTAATACGACAATCTGACTTAATTATTTATATGAGAGCTATATTGTATTTAACTTAATAATTTAACTTAATTTTGTAATATATTTAATAACGAAGCCCAGTCCAGTGTTACTAATACATAAATCGGTACTTAAATTATTTCATTTTTAATTATATCTAAACTGTATTTCTGAAATTTCGAACACAGTTAAGTTTTCCTTCCTATGGAATTTATATATACGCCGTGTAGAATCAGACGGACATGCCTATATCGACTACTTTCGGTAAATTATAGTTATCCTTTTTAGTATAATAATGTTTCTAACATCAATAACCTAAGATAAGAAACTTTCCAAAACGGATTTAAAATCCGAGTTTTATTAATCCCCCACTTACGATTACATATAGCCATTGAGGTAATGCTGGACTTGGAGAAGAGGCGTTCGGCCTCCTTGAACTTCCGGTTCCGCTTGTCGGCCTTGGAATTGGTGGCCTTGTTGGAGGTCAGGTAGCGCTCCCACCCGCGGATGATGTTCCCGCACAACTGCGTGTCCTCCAAATAGGATCCCTCGAAGGCGTAGATCTGTCGCTCGAGATTGGCCAGTTGCTCCTGTCATTCGTACGAAATAATAATGAAATCATGCACCGGTTTCGGGTTTGTTTATATTGTGCCTTACAGAGGTTTCCGCCTTTTTTTTGATGAGGTCCGCCAATTCGGCGCGTGTGTCCATTTGCCCACTCTTGGCATTCGAATTTGTCTTGCCGGACTTCTTAGGCTTGTTCCCATTCGTTTCGCTAACATTTTTACTCGTGGGCGAGCTCATAATTAAGGAAAATGCTTTATTTTTGTTTTGTTGCTACCCGTTTGTAGTGTGGTTTTATTTGGCGGCCCTCGTGGTTACATGGAAATCGCCATGCAAAGTTGAGTGAGATTATTACAACGCGTACTTTTCCGTTGAATTCTTATTATTCTTTGAGGTCCGTATTCTTATTTTTGTGAAACAGGGATAATATGGATATTATTTTAATAAATAATATTACTAGAGGTGGACAGACGCGATTCTAAAAATATGTGTGATCGATGTTTACAAAACATTGGAGATATCGATGTATGGCAGGGCAACGTTTTTCCAACAGCACCTTGGTGGGGGAGAAATATCGACGGTTGATAAATCCGCTAACGATGCAAACATCGCTTTTCCATCTCTAACAAGTATGAAATACGCACCACTGTGAACTCAGAAATGATGGCAAAATTCTAAATTTGTAGCCGTGACTTAAACCAACAATTTGTTCACTTATAATTCTTGGTGTATAGGTGGCGCTTTGTCTATTCTTAAAGTGAAATTAAAATTAAGCCTGTTAAATTTAAAATGTTCTTTTGTGTTTCAAAACTTTTACTGTTTTATTTATTTAATTTAAAATTTTGTAATTTTACTCGGAAGAGATGAATTCTTAAGTTTAGTACTTTACAAAAATTAAAAAAAATGTGATTTCAATCCATTTCATTTCAAAAACTTGAAAATAATATTATCTTTTTTATGTAAAATCACATAAAATAGTAATAATGGATTTTCCTCAAAAATCGAGTTATAACAATGACAATTTAATTTTTTTGAGCTATCAATTTCCATTTTTTATAATTTCTACAAAGAACATTTAAAACGACGAAAAAAAATGGTCCTAAAATTATTTCTACTGCAGGGTCGTAGACCGCAATTACTAATTTTAATACCCTTAATTGCTCCCCCATTTTTAGTTAGATTGTTCTTTACCGATACAAAACTATTTTCGCTTTTTTCTTAGCTTTTTTATTACAGCGCTTGCCCCTTCACCACTTTGCATTCGTTTTGAAGCGAGTGTGACTGCCATTGACCCCTCGGCTTGTTATTCTTTTTTATTTATGCGTTTGCCACAGACAAAAGATTCGGTTCAGCACAAGCGCCATCATCATCGTCATGATGGTGATCATCTAATGATCCCGCCGTGGGTCTTGCATAGTTTATTGACCCAAGTTCGTTTCAAAGTTTGTTGAACTGCCGAAAAAAAAGTGAAGCTACCGTTCTAGCTCTCTATTTCTTCCCGCTACCTCTTTCTTTATTTTTCTTTTTCTTCCGCCTTTCGCTTTGCTTGGCTTTATTTTGAATGCCTCTGTTTATGGGCCTTCTTCGTCGCGCCTATTTCACTTTCGTCATACGCGGCGTATGCGTGATTTTATTTTTGCAGCACATCGCCGTGCATGTTGACCATAGAAAAGCAATATGAAGTGAGGCTGCACATGAAGACGAACTCGATTAGAAAATGAAATCATAATGCAGCGGCCTGCAAAAGCGAAACGGCAACGACCGTTTGCAAGTCGCTGGCTAAACAAAGTCTGCTATTCCGCCATGTTCCACTAACACCATCGACTTAGTGTCTAAGTGTCTTAGTGACTAGGTGACTAAGTGACTAAGTGACTAAGTGACCGACTGACAGACTCAGACTGCCGTCTTCTATGTATGTCAAACATTGGCGCGCGCGTATTCGCAAAACAAAAAAAAGTGCAGCAAAAAACTTTCATTTTATTTAAACAAACACACAAGGCGCGGCCTGGGCTTGGACTTGGAAAAACTTATTTTCATTTGGTTTTAAGCAAACATCTTGCAACTGAAAACCACGCCGGTCGATCAGTTTTAGCCATCTTCTTCTGGTTTGCACTGAAAAAATATTGTACTTAGTTAAAGTGCAACAGTTAGGGTTTTGAGATGATTAATCCAATTTTTTATGGTTTTTAAATTATTTATTTATCTCTAAGTATATAAGACCTTAAAGTTGTGCCTTGTTAAAATATATAAGTTTATAACTTTACACACTTCGGGAAATTGTATATTGTGACCATATTGTACAATTGTCCTTAAGATATTTTTCACAATACTTAAGCCTTAAAATATTTATTTCTAGATTAAGATGTTTACCTTACATTTTTGACAGTGCTGCCAATTGATGGCAGTTTGCAATAATTTTTATGATGAATTGCTTGGCCGCGTGTGAAATCTGCTGGAGTCACAGCATTGGCCGGTGGAAAAGTGGAAAACTGCCAGAAAAGTGGAACACAGCTAAAGAAGCGCAGCTCCAAGTGCAACAACTGCAAGTGCAACAACTGCAGCAGCAGCAACGCAAACACTCTCGACTAATTAGCTGCGTTTTAGAAATTCAGGCGGCAATGAAAACAAAATCGAGTTCAATGCTTGCAACGATGACGTTGTTGTTGCTCTCGACGTGGTGTGTTTTCGACTTTTCCGAGAATTTCACATATAGCATACATAGTCCGATGCGGCGCTTTCCCAACGCCAAGCGAGTGAAAATGAGTCTGCTTCATTTTGGGCAGCTAGGGAAAACTGTAAAATGCAATTTTAAGACAAGCCATTGTCTTGAATCTATTGGCCATATTTATTTAAGCAAATATGTTCTTTATTTAAATTTGTTTTTAGGCTTAAAGCTGAAGATTACTATTTAAATGTTGAAACAGGATCCGCTTAAGAATTTATGGAATTAATTAATCATAGGAACAGCATTTTGTATATGGCACAGAAACAAAACAGGGGTTTATTTATTTATTATGAGTAATTTTGGTTTATTTAAGCTGAAATGAAAGATTACCATATTATCCTAGCTAACCATAAAAAACTTGGATTTCAGTAAAATGTTAAGATATAATATGTCTTAAAAAGTTATTAAAGTTTCTCTCCCACTGTTTTAAAACAAATCAAAGAAATTAACTTATTATTTAAAGAAATTAATGTTTAGGCTAACATAAAAAAAACGTCTGAAAGTACCAGCATGAAATAAAATAATTTAACAGATAGTCCAGTATCATTTAACCATTTAAATCTCTATTCTTATAGCTTAAGCTTTTACAAAAACAGTAATTTTATAAATACAATTATTTTTTATCGGGATTATATTATTATAAGTCAAATGAACTAGTACACTAATTTAAAAATGAAAATAAGGGGGTATTGCAATGAAATGAAATAGCATTATTACATTAAATTTTAACCCTATGAGGTATACAGGCGGCCAAAGTGACATCATAGCGCAGAGGAGATAACAGAAATGCACTTGCCGTGCTCTCACAGACACATACCCCACTCAAAAGCTTTTTAACAAAGTTTGCTCTCTTTCCTCTCTGACACATGCTCTTTTTCTCTCTCTCTAGTTTATTGTTGTTGTGCAAAATGCCGGAAGAAACTTGATCTTGATTATTTTCTATGTGTGTGAGCGAGAGAAGAGAGCGAGTGCGCAAAAAGTTCAAGTTGAATGTCGCGGCCATTTTGCCCGTGCGGGTGTGAAGTGTAGGAACGTCACAATTTGCACCACTCGTGTTGTTGTTTCTGCTTATGTGTGTGGGTTCACATGCTTTTTAGATTTCAGATTTTTTTATACGATTTGAAAGCTTTTCATTGCTGTTGCACTTTTGCGTGCATTTAGCAAAAACAGGAAGAATAGAATATTTTTTTTGTGGTTTCCTGTAAATGTTTTATTTTTAAAGCCTATGAAAATGTACCTAGTTTCTGAGCAGTGTTAGTAATTGTATTAACCCATTTTATTTGGATGGGATGACTAAATGTGATAAAATTAGGGATAAGGACTGAATACTTCTCTAACCAAACTTTATCTATTTAAATAATTATAAAAAGTATTTGGTTTTTTCTCGTAAAGCATAAGGCTTAAACTGACTACTAATAAGTAGTAGTAAAAAAGTAGTAGTAATATTACCTATTTATTTATTAAAAGAAAAATAGACGTACATATGTATTATGTCCTCCGCTTCTGTTCGTGTATGGCGTGTTTTCTTTTAGATGCTTCTAACATTTCCTTTGAAATTGTTTAATGAACACTTGAGAATTTGTTTGTACTTCGCACCATTTGGATATTGCCCTAGCCCAACTGATAATCATTACCCGAGGCGTTGGTTATTAACCAATGGTTAACCAAACCCTTTCGACTGTTTGTCCAAAAACTGTTGATCAACAAACAACGCACAAATTTCGAAGAAAAATAAAACAAAAAACAGACAAAAATGCAATCAAAGTTAGGTAAGAGAACTGACCTTTAACAATGCTGCACAGATCGACGACATCATCTCCGCATCGCATCCCCAGCTCTTTCACTCCCCCCTCTCTTCTCTTTTTCTCTACCCAAGACCCAAAACACATTCACCCAAAAACGTCGCCGCTGACAAACAACAAACATTCCTTTTTCAAGAGACAACACTAAAACACACACACCAAAAAACATTTTCAAGCTGCGCGCCAAAGGCAAAGACAACAAAGCCAACAAAAACTTAAACGAAAGCCAAGCTCACTAAAAAGAGAAAAGCAATTCACAAAACAGCCAAGTCCAAAAATATAAAACTTAATTTTTTTGTCTATATTTATTAAATTAAGAAAAAAAGATTTCGCTAAATAAGCAACAACTTTTTACTCTTTATTTTATATACATAAGTGCTGGAAATAAACTAAAAATACAATTAAAACCACTAAGCAAAAAGGATTTCAAAGTTGATTTCTATTCATTTGGCCGCGGCCGTGACTTGGCCTGCAATGGCCAAGAGGCTGAGAGTCGGTTAACAGAGAGCCAGACGGCCAAGATACCGACCGAGAGGGGAGAGAGAGGGGAAAAGAGACGGGCGAATGGAGTGCACGAGGCGAATGAACTTTCGTGGCGCTCTGTTTTAATGCTGGTATGAAAGTTATGCAACTGAGCTCGGCTTTCGGCTTTTCACACGAAGCTCGACGAAGCCAGTTAACTGTTTTGCGGACAGAGGAAGCAAGTGACGAAGGAAACGAGACAGAGTGAGAGAGAGAGAGAGAGAGGAAAGCAGCGACGAGTCGTTGACTTTGCATAAGTGTGCCAATTTATAAAACAGTTCAAGATTAACGTGGCCTTCAACAACAGATCGAACACAAACGCAACAACGGAGCACAATAAATACAAGGAATAAACAATAGAGGAATAATTATATTATCACACTCATAACTTTCACATTAAACAAATAAACTCACTTGAGATTATAG